GCGAGCTGAACTAGCTCTTATGATATCAAGCAAAGCTAACCACGGGACGTTGAGCGATGATATGAGTGATTCCTATGGACAAACTATTGAGGTAATCATCATGACGAAGCGAGGTACCACGCCAGGACGAGTGATCGCAGCCCAAGCATGTTGCTCAAGATTATGATTGATTAAATTTTGTTGATCTTAGTTCTTGCCAAACTATTGCACTCGCATTGTATTATTGATGTGATTGGATGAGAGATCCTTTTTTTGGCGAGGCTTAAGGAAGGCAATGGCTATGCGCCTGATGCCCGTCATCACGGATTGAACAAATCAACTGTTTGATACCTGATGATATTCGTAACACACGCTTGACATTTTTTGCTCCGAGGACACTTTAGGCTTGGTTCACACGGTCACACCTCACTGCCTGTCATGCCAGGCACGGTCCAGTGCAGTATTCTTTAATGCATTTCTGTGGAGGCGTTCACACCAGTCGTGCAAGACGCCCGTCATGACAGGTACGGTCCAGCCGCGAGCGAGGCAAGAAATAATTTGTCCGATACGTGACCGGCACGCAGTGCATTTATATCATAAGAAGAATTTAAATGGTTTCTATTAACTGTTTCAAATTGGCGATTCTGTCTCGGGATTAATAAATGACAGTTAAGGAACTCCTCAAAGAACGTTGTAACATTAACAATTGCAACAATTAAATAGAGAAGAAAATAATTATACATGAGATCAAAACTCATATTGCAAATAAAAATGGTTCAGAGGTAAAACTTTTTTAAAAAATTATTTACGCAAAGCTGTTTGTGAACAATCAAAAACTCATCAATGAAATTTAATTTCATGGAGCGAAAATAATGCGAGCTCACACCGTCCGGATTTTTCTAGTAGTACTTGACAATGTGTTGGGACAAATTCCGAACCCAACTACTTGAAGAACGACAGTTAAGAAGCAGTGCTGGACTCGGCTATTAAAGACCGGGCCGCTGATCTCGTTAAAATTATAACATTACTTTGCTCTACCTGTGATCTTGACTTGCGTTGCCAGCGCTTGATTAAGCCTTAAATCTCGCGCCTACTTACCTGTTCCTGTGTCTCATAGTTTCCTTCTCTAGTAACTTTGGTGTTTATTTCTAGTGCAGAACCCTTGATAAATTATACTTTTAATTTTTGGGAGCATGTGTTTGTCACATCTTTTTGAATGCTTTGGCTCTCCCGCCAAACGAAAATGTAAGTTTCCAGTATTCAAACTCGAGTTGAAGTTATTTCTCTTAACAAAGATATACTTCCATAAGTGTCAATAATCAATCCAGTAACTTTGGAAGTTCAATTTGGTTCTCGGGTTATGCTTTAATAGTTAAATTCTTATTTTTAACAACTCTCGCCTTAATTAACAAAGTGTTTAGTCTCTATCTATGATGACCTTTAAAATTCCGGAACAGTGGCACTTTTTATTGAACTGTCGCGGGCTTCGGATGACTGAAGTGTGGCCGCAATTGTTAGCTGTGTATTATTTTTACTTGTGATCTCGCATGTATCGCCTCTGAAAGCACTCCCCTTAGGATGTGCACTTATTTTTGCTTAAATAAGGTAAGCAGGTTTCTTGAACTATATTTGTTACATTTGAATATTTTAGCAGTGTTTCTCCTCAAGCGCATTAGTAGTAAAGTCCATTTCTTGCACAGTTATGCATACTGGTCTGCTACCGTCCTGCGTGACCGCCAGCGTTGAACACTAAATCGTTTCAAATTTCGAGTGACCTACGATATAATCTGGCATTAAAACTGAACTCTATGCAGCGATTAAATCTGATTTATTTACTTCAATCATCCTCGCTTTGTTTTGATCCTTCCGAAAGATTAGCTATTCACTTCTAGAAGAGGCTTACCTCCTGCGTTGGGAAGAATTCCCAACACATGCGTTGTCGCGTCTCTCGATGTAGCACAAGTGCAGGGAGCCCGTCAAGCAAGCGAATCTTTAGGCAGAGGAGCCTGTATGTGTAGGGGCGGTTACTGCCGCCCCCCTATCGTCCTCTTCTTCCTTACCGCCCCCCAAAATCTCTCCACCGCCCCTAGAGGGGGCGATATCGCCCACTTTGGGAACCACTGGTCAAACTTATTATCTGTACAGACATTCGTGACGCGGCTCAAAAACGATGAAAGATTGCAATCGCTCGAATCACGTTTCACAAATAAGAATATAGGCTTAACATCGAAGTCTCCAAGTTTTGAACGTGAGTTTGTTGGTACAGACCTGCGATCGACTAATCAGATTTGAGATTTCAGCGTCACTTGCGAAACTCCTGATTGCGGTCATACAAGTGATTTCATAATTAAAATTTTACACGGGATCAAGCGTGTGGAAAATTGGGTTTTTAATTACGTGCTCATAATGAATACTTGTTCGGTTCATGAGCATCCCCTATATAGTAATGTTTGTAAAACAAAGCTAAGTGTATTAAATTTTATAGAGCTAATTGCAATAAATAATTTTCATTAACTTGATTATCATGGATAAGGTTTAAACACTTCATTGTTCTAGATTTTCTTTAAAATTGTAAATTGTGAACCTTTTCTATCTATGAAAATTAGAAACCAAGCAATACGATTTGCTGCTAGACATTGCTCATGAGGAGCAATCTTAAATAGCATAAGTGCTCTTATCAGGACGTGTCTACTAGCGACGATGTGACGATGTCAGGCAGTCGCGCGTTGGTGCTTCGTTTGTGCACAGGCTTAATAAACTGTCTTTCAATCATATTTTTGCTGCGGGACCTAATTAGCTTAATTGTAAAATTATATGTATTCAGGAATTATACAAAGTAAATATTTATGATTTAAAGTGCGGCGTGTGATCGGTTACTCTAACCATGATCTGATGTCAGGATGGTCGTAAGGAGCTTCACGCCTGTCAGGCTGCATTGCTGCAATCCAGGAGTCTATATGGAAAACCGACATTCTTGTTGACTGATGAATGTATTGTTACGAAACCGTTTCAGAGTCATTCTTCAATTTGAAATGGTCTTTTAACCGCACTTGATCATTGTTCTTAGCCTTATTACAGTAAGTTGTCCTATTTTACAAAAAATGAGAAAATTGGTATTTGATTAATTGTGTGTCAATACTTGTTCAAGTAATCATAGAATTGCAAAATAATTGAAAGATCGAAGAAGTGTTCTCAAACCAAAATCATATATTCCAGCAGAATATCTTGTTTACTCCTGTGTAAATCCGTCAAATTTCATCCACAAATTTTTATCTCATGTGGGCGTGCCAGGGTCATCAACATCGATCAAACCCTCGCTCTGACGTTCCCTGCAGAACCATCCATCTTCTGCTGATTTGCAGAAACTCGATCTGTGCGCATGGTTCTATATCGAACTCTGGAAGAACAGGTCATCAGCGTAGACAAATGATACGACCACAGTTTTATGATGCAAAATGAGACCGAGTGTATCAGAGCCAGAGAGTAAACCGTCAGCGAACGTTGTTTGTTCAGCGCTGAGAGAATGCTACTAAAATTTCTTAAAATAGAAGCAATTCTATGTAGCATGGCATCTTATTTCAGTCATTAAGATTTAGTTCCAAACTTTCCAAGCTGTATCTTTGACTTGGATTTCGGACATATGATACTTGTTTAATACGTGATCCTAAATTACACTGAAATTGCGAGAAAAAAAATCAGCATGTTCTAAACTAATTAAATGAGTAATATGACACATTATAATAGGATGTCCGCCACACACTAGATGACGTCAATAATGAAACATCTGTAGTACATGGAGCAGTGCGTTCAAGAACTGATGAGGGGCGGGTGGGAACTGATGACAATGAGAGCAGCTATTAAGTCTGATGTACACAGACTTGACAGACTTAAGTCTGTGTACAGTACACAGAGGGCAGTTATTGAGTGTAGTGCCCCCAGTACACAGAGGGCAGTTATTGAGTGTAGTGCCCCCAGTACAGAGGGCAGTTATTGAGTGTAGTGCCCAATACACAGGAGAGCGTGGCAAGAAGGATGACTCAAGTAGTGTACAATAACATATCCTTAATACGGTCCATCACTACATGTGGATCTTTTTTTGGCATATCAATGCCAATAAAGCTGTGGACTGTACATTCCGTCTAACGAATACAATCTCAGGAGCGAGCACTAATGCAATGAATTCATATATATCGGAATGTGACATTTTCCTTATCAAGTCAAACTCCTCGATTTCAGTCGCCTGCAGTGCCTAACAGTGATAGTATTTAGAATATGAGCTCTGAAGTGTGAATGACAGTGTAATATTGTTAGCAGATAAAAAACATTTTTCATGTGTCTATTTATATTTTGTAGTTGAATTAATTGCTTTACATTGCTTTATGAATATCGATGAAAAATCTTATTGAGAATAAATGTGTAATGACAAATTAGAATTTCTTACGGTTTAATCCCCGAAGTTGACCGGTTTTGGTCGACGCAATATTTTGGCAAAATTGTGACTCAGAATTCAATACGACTTCTCCGCACAGAAAGCCGCTGCATGTGCTTTGCTCATCCCCTGGTAATCCCATATTTGACTTGCGTGATTTTGTGAAATGCGCTTTCCTGATTCTCTGATCTGCCTCTATTTAACTCGTTGGCATATTACGTTATTCACTTATTGCGAGAGCTATTTCTGACAAGGTTGCAAATTTTTTACGTATCGTATGAGACTTTGTTAACTTTGAAACAGTTTACAGTGAATTAGATGGGTCACATGAAATTGAATAGAATAGAAGTGTCGGCACTGAAGAAATAGGCCCATGGACTTTTATATGATGTTTTAGACACCAAAACTTGCCAACATCGGGGAAAATTATCCTTTAATCTAATTTTATTTATTTTTAGCGCATTTTCTCAGTTATGGGAAAAATGGCGCTATTGTGCACGTCATGTCCGTCCGTCCGTCCGTTTGTCTGTCTGTCAGTGACTTCACGGACGGACGGACGAGAAAATGCGCTCTCTGTTACTCACTGTTGTGAGTACGGAGTTATATTTTTTATTTCTTTTCGAAGAAATGCCGATTTATGGAGGAATTAATCCTCCCTTTCGGGAAAGTCGACAGTTTCTGAAACCACCGCTCTTCTTGAATGGATTAAAGTGAACTTAAAGTCGACTAAAAAATAACTGCATTTTTGAAGCGCATTGGGTTACTAGACGGGAAGAAATATTCAAATATTTTACTGTGAAAATTGCATAAAATGAGTATAATCATAATGAGGATATCTCTCATAACTATTCACGTGTATAATGAAGTGTTTACGTGTTTCCCGATTTAGGCTGTTTAATTAAATTCTAAATGTCATGATACCGAGAGGAATATGCTTACGAGTACCAAAGTTGGCGGCGACAATATGTTTACGTGTGACCCTGAAAAAGCAGGCATGCGTTGTGCTGAACTGAGAGAAAAAATCGTCAACGCTAGTTGCCTGCACATGCAAACAGCTTTAATGCTCGAAGGCCGAAAAGATCTCACATCAAATCTATGTGATAATTTTGTTGAAAGTGAGGCGTGCGACTATATTGCAAGTGATTGTAAACCCGAACACAGTGCCCCAACTCCTCGTAACTGCAACCACGATCCGCAGCAGCGGCTTCCTCCTAGCGATCCTATTTTCAATGCTGCCAGTGACGAGGCAAGAGATTATGCACACATTCCGCAAGAACCATCCAATGATTCCACCAACGAACGAACCAAATTTGTTGAAGAGCAGTGGCCGGAAGTCCAGTTCGAAAACCATCAAGAGCCCATTAGAGGGACTTCATTGGTACAACCTTTCGTGACGCAAGCTGCGTGCACGACACAGAATCCAGCAGCAACCACTGATATTGTTGGACGAATGCTGGCAAGACTCACCAAGCGAGGCTCGGATCTCTTGTTGCCTAGAAGAGAAGCAGGCATTGCTGACGATCATGCAGAAGTTATAGCAAGTTCCAAGTCGCTTGAAGTGAAAGGCAACTTACCGAGTAAAGTAAGGACTGAACCGGTGGCTCCAGATGGGAGATGGGGATGGATTGTCCTCGCTGGAGCTTTCTACACTGTTGTAAGCCAGGTTACATTATAATAGAAATGTCGCGCTTTTTTCTTAGTCTGCATGGATGAACATTTTATTTTTTATTGTTGATTTTCTGTTAGAAAAATATTGTGGATATTTTCAGTGCGAGTGGACACGTTCTGAAACAACTCTCTTATTTGGTACGTGGTAATCATTTAGTTTTCCTAATTGCAGGCTTTCACCATAAGCATCACGACTTGCTTCGGAATCCTCTTTAGTCAAAGGATAAAAGTCCTAAACATCTCATCCAGTGAACTCAGCTATGTATACATGTTACACAACATCACATGGAACCTCGGCGTCCTGCTGACAAACACCGCGGTCTTGAAGTTCGGCTTCAGAGCAGTGGCTTTCTCAGGATGCCTCGCAGCCTCACTGTCGTTCATGTTGTTGGCTTTCGCAAATTCACTAGCTTTCATCGTCATTGTGTACAGCATTATCCTACGTGAGAACCCTATCTGAAATTATCAATTCTTGCCGTTGCCGTGAATGGCTTTAGGAAAACTCATTTATATCGTAAATTCGATGTACGGAAATTGAAAGCCAAAATTGCTAACCAGCAATTCGAATCCATTATAAATAGCAGCACTGATAGGACAATGCAAAGTTACATCCACTCAGGCTGCTGATTCCTCTTATCTCCACAGCTATCAGCGCTGGGGTGGGCTCCACCGTGAGCTTCCTCATAGTGCCGAGGTACTTCGAGAAACGACGTGGCCAGGCGATGGCCATCCTGATGACGGGGCTTGCTGTTGGCGGCATTGTGTCTCCCTTGCTCATTAGGAATTTGCAGGACGAGTTTGGATTCATCGGTGCAACGCTAATCCATGGGGCTATCATCCTCAATTGTTGCGTTGCATCAGCTTTATTCCGACCGTTGGAATCTAAGAAGAAAGAAAGAAATGATTCCTTACCTCCTACTGCTGTTGAAGACTTCTCCGAGTTCGGCTACAATGAACAGAATGGAGGTTTTATCTCCACTCCTACCCTCGGATTGGAACGTTCCAAGCCTATTCCTAGTAGAATGTGGATATTTGCGTCGAACCTTATACTTTCATTAACAACATGGTTTAAAAAGAACTATTCAGTGTTGAAGCAGCGAAAAGTTTTAATGAACGGATTCAGTCTTTCCACTCATGTGGTAGGATACTTCAATTTTGTGATGCTTGTTCCTTTCGTGGTCGAGAGTTCAGGTCATTCACCACAGTACTCAGCGTGGTGTGTCGCAGCATTTTCTGTTTCAAATGCAAGCGTTCGCCTCATCGTCGCAAGTCTGGCTGATAGGACTTGGTTCAATAAAGCGTTCTTCTTCGGTCTGGGCGCCTTCATCGCCAGCTGCACTTCTTTCGGTATTGCATTCATTTCAAAATCACAATGAACGGTCGCGATATTAGTAATGTACGTTCTCGTTAATAAACACACCTAAATTTTTGAGAAAAAATACAATGATACGCGTGGAATATTTACGTTTCATTCCTTTTTCTTAACACGTTCCTTTCCTTCGTCATTTTCAAACCAGGTTTCATGTTCGCAACTCACAGCGAGCTCTGGATGACGATCCTCATCCTCGTGTTCGGTGTTGGCGTGGGCCTCTACATGAGCCTCTACCACGTGCACATGATTGACGTGTTGGGCATGGAGCTATACGCCGCTGCTGTGGGGGTCAACGCTGTCATCATGGCTTCAACTTTTGGGCTCGCTGGTCCCATTTTTGGTAATTATATTTTGCATTATCAACTACATTACTCATGGATATGCCATCAGGATTAATTATTGATACCCTGTGCAAATTTCAGACCTAAAACTTGCCAATTAATCATTAAATTTATTTGGCAGGTTGATTTTGTTGACACGGATTTCCCACTATCAATTATATCTCTCACGGATATGCCATCATGATTAATCGATTTACCCACTGCAATGTATATAAAAAAATTGTCAATTCATCTTTCAATATATTTTGCAGGTAATTTTCCTTACACAATTTTGCCAGCACTCATAATTTAATTTATTTGCGTTCTGTATCAATTGCAATAGTACGTGTTGAGCTCATTGGACGACATCGGTAATGAAACCAATAAAATCCTTAGCACGATAACAAATTTATCGTACCTGAATTTAGGTCGGGAATTTTAGGTCTCCGCAAAGAAGAAACTCATATTTTACCACTCCAATTTGCTATCTATATTCCTAATTCACTCGATGTCAACTCAGTACCAAGATTATATAACATTGCAAAATAATATCGATGCAAGCCAACAAGGGATTTATTTACAATTTAGAGCAGTAATGCTTAGCACAATTTGTGTGCCCAGGAAGCATCAGGAAAATCACGACTTCGTACGGCGCCAGCTTGGGCGCGTGCTCAGCGCTGCTGTTGTGCTCCACTCTCCTCGTCATAGGACTTCACAAGGAACCAAAGTGGAGCGAAACAAAATAATTCAATTGGTAAACATTTTTGTATTACTCACTCAAGTAATTAAAACTGCAGAAATAGCCGAATTATTGACGTGCGACTCAGCAAAAGTGTCAACGCAGGTTGCATCCCAGCACAAACACCTCCCATTAGAAAATGGGAAAACCGTTAAGCCATCTGGTCTTTTACCATCCACTCTGTCCACTCCAACGGGTTCAAGGCATGAATTTTAAGGAACGCCAGCGCTCTGAAGAGCCCTCCTGATCACATCGTTCAGGGCCGAGTGCCTTGGATGTCGCCCAGCGCTGTACTTACAAGAAAGGCCATGCAGTCCTCGTGCATCCATTCGCTTTCCGCACCGACAAATGTGGGGTTCGCATACATTTGCGCCAACTCGAAGAGCAATTGAGACGCGGAAGGAGTCGGAATCTAGAAGTGTTCCAAGAACATCCGAAGAAATCAGGCTCGCCAAGCTCCCGCGTATCCACGTTAGCCGCGTTGCTACGCCGCCATCTTTGTATCATACTGGCGCCTCAGCTTACTCTCTCGTTCCTACAAGTTCGAACGTTTTGGTAGCAATGGAGAAAGAAAGAACAAAGCAGAAAGGATTAGGCTGTTGTCAAAAACTCCTTCCTTCAGTGAGAGACCGACATTTAAAACGAAGCAAAGCCGTGATGTGCAGATTTTGCAAGCCTGCCTCCCGTTTAACAGGGTGATTTACTAAACTATTTGGTGGTCAGCCAATACACCTTGCAAGAATTCAAGGCTTACAAGACGCTTGAAGCTTACAAAAAATTTGTGGATGGATGGGTACAGGCGATGGAGAAACGAAACTTCAACGCATCAAGAAAGGCGATGTGCTTGGTAGAGTTAGTTTGGTAGTACAACTGGACAAAGATAATGATGCTGACGAATGGAACCTTCTAAGAATGGAAAATGAAATTCCTTTTCACCTTTTTTGAAGAGGAAAATGATAGAATTTTATCAATGCTTGCCAGGTAACCAGGGTTCGGATGGCTCATACTCTTAGTAATACCCATCCCGATATTGGACGCGCTCATCACTGCTCATGTGACACCTCAGACCACAGAACTGACCAACAACACACCAATTCACCAGAAACCTCGACGTTTTGCAAAACCAATTTATATTGAAATTGAAAGGCAATGTAAAGAACTCGGAACATTTGATGTTATAGAACAAAGCGAATCATTTTGATCTTCCAACAAACCAGCCAACTGCAACAACACTATCGTCGCTGCAGGATAATGGATCTTGACAATGTTATCTGATCTGTAAATATTATTACGTTTTATTCTTACTTATGTAGCTTATCTAAAGGCAAGTAACAGATTTTGCCCCTGGAAAATGTATAGTATAGTATCGTATATAATAAATATTCACGGCTGTTAAACTGATATGCAATACGTATATCAGTACGAGCCATAAACTGATACGATATACACTGCATTCACGGCTAGTAAACTGAATCAACGCATTCCATTGTATAGTTTTTTGCTTAAATGGCCGTGAGAACCACTGGTACATCCTACAACGGTGCAGTAGCTTCCCATCTTCAAGCAAAAACTTCAAAAAGAGACGATCGCAGTAGATTTAACACGTAGGCGAAAGCTAGACCCTGCTACAAATATGGCGGCCGATCCCACAATGCATCTGGCGATTCGGTAAATCTGGAAATTGAAAACTTTATTTCCGGGTATATTTTGTTATTATGGAAGCTATTAAGGAACGTTTGACGTTGGTAATACATAACACGCCTCATGAAATTAATTTCTTCTTTGACGCAGAATGACAGCTCACTCATGCTCACTCAGGCTGGTTGACAGGGCTGATAAGTGGCAGCTGCGGTTTAACGCTGACAAATGTAAAGTTATCCACCTTGGCAAGAATAATGAACAGCACGATTACAGTATGAGAAGAAACGGCTGCAACAACAGAGTGATGATGTCGAAGTCGACAATGGAAAAAGATTTAAGAGTTAACATCGACAATGAGTTGACATTTTCTAAGCATATTGAAGGTCAAGTTAATAATACCAATAAACGACTTGGACTGATCAGACGCTCTTTCGAGTTCCTAGATGCAGAAGCGATGAAGCAGTTGTTTGTTGTTATTGTGCGCCCGAACCTAGAGTTTGGAAACGTCGTGTGGTCACCGAAATTTGGAAAGGACAAAAATTTAATATACAGTGTTCAAAGACGCGCAACAAGGATAGTTCCGGGCTTGAAATGCAAGTCCAGCGAGGGAAGATTGAAGATTATGAAGCTTCCAAGCCTCAGTTCTCGACGTCTGCGTGGGGACTTCATTGAAGCATACAAGTATACTCATGGCTTATACAAGGTCCCAGAAGAATTAACTAGAATTTGAAACGAGAACCAACACCAGTGGCCACGGCTATAAACTAAAAAAATTGCGTTGGAACACATCCAAGCGACAACATTTCTTCTCGCTTCGTGTCAACGACATGTGGTTAAACATGTAGGCAGGGTGGCCCAGTGGTTAAAGTTCAGAGTACCAAGATTGGCGCAGAGAGGCGCGGGTTCGATCCCAGCTCTGTGCGCCAGTTTCTGGTCAGAATCAGCAAGGAGGCCGGGCGGTTAAGCACAGCAGAATTGTAGCAGTGAGTTGCGAGTTCGAGACCGCAAAATGCTGTGAATGTTCTGCGATGTTAAGAATCGGCGACAGGCTACGGCCTAATAACGCTGAAACCGCTAGTATTATATTATTATGTGGAACAGCCTCCCTGATAGCATCGTTGACGCTCAGAGTATGAACACCTTCAAAAACAGACTAGACGAAGCTATGCAGGACCATATGTCCAGTCTTGAAATGCCTAGCAAATTACGGAACAGGCAATAAGTCCAGTAGCTATCTAAATCAATCGTCAGTTTATTGAAAGATCGGGTTTCAAAAGCCGGATCCATTGTGAATCAAGTCACGAAAAGCTCAAGAATCGGCAACAGGCCATGGGCCTATTTCTTTAATGCCGACACTTATATTCAATTCCATACCAATAATTCGTGTTTATAATATGAACAATTTTTTTATTTTGATTTATTTCGTGAATTGTACTGGCTTGTGGAAGGATAACCAATTTCTTCGCAGTGAACAAGAAACAACTTCCAAACTGCAGAATAAATTTCGATTGTTGTAGAATACTGCACAAAAACTTTCGAAACTATCCAATTTGTTTATGATGAGTGAAGGGGGATGTCATACACTCCATAGTATATTAAAATCAAACCTATGATTAGTTCCGGTTTCCGAGTTTTAGTAATCATGATTGTAGCTTTTCTTGGAGATAGTTGCTGCTAGAGCTACAACGGGGAACGTTTCTCTAGAAAACTTTCGTCTGCAAAATGGCAAGTTCCCTTTCTAGATATAAATAAAACGTTGATTAAAATATTTATGTATTAATCCTACACTATCCAATCTAGTCAGCTTGCTCCATTGTTCGATTCAAACGTTTATATATATGTCAATATGTTTGTTGGGACAGATTTGACAATCAGTCGCCCAACTTCCCAAGCATTTATTAATCATTAATGTTAGCCTACTCATAATTCATATCAGAAATAAGACATTGCCTGGTCCTGTTATCACAACATTTATGGTGACATACTGGCTTAGTCCGACTAAGCTAGTTTGATCTTTTGTCAAACTGAATCAACTAAACTCTCTTATTAGATTAAGCCACTAAGCCTCTAGTCTGGAAAAGTCCTATTTTTGTCTGAAATACCGCGGCTCTAATATCATATAATTTCAGTAGGTATGAAATCTCGCGGCTCGAATGTCATAAATTTTTGTTTGATTAAAAAATCGCGGTTTGCACTTCGCAAACATGTCATTTCATAAAATTTTCAACTTCTGCAATCTGCATTGCTTTACCGTTTCCGCCAAAAATATCTTGCAGAAAAAACATAAACATCGTAATGTAAACAAATAAACAAAACGTTTGTTGAAAATCGCGCATAGGGTAAACGCGGTATATTCCGACATCGTAGGTAATTCCGTCACTTCTCTAGTTTTTCCTTTATATCATACTCTGATTATATTTTTAAAATTAAAAATCAATTTTTATTAAATTAAATTGTATTATTAATGCACTATATGGTATGTGCTCTATGTTTTATATAATGAAATACGTAGTTTCCCATGTTAAACAACGAAAATTTTCTATGAGACACAAAACGTTCGAAAACGCGGGATGGCAGACGAAATCATTCAGAATTTGAAGTGAATTTATTAAGATAAATTCAACGTAATAGGGCAAACTAGACACAATCAAAACATTACTGTGTGTGACACTGTCTTGTAATACGTAAACATAGAAAACACAATGTGAACATATGCAGTGGAAGAGTAGCAGTTTATCTCATAATTTTGTGTGAAATCAAAAATCAAATCATGTGCGACGATGAAGCAGTACCGTAACTCCGGTCATAGCGTCCTGGGATACTGATAACAAATTGACGGCCGCAGGAGGAACTGGTCACAGGATGAGGTGCTAGAGAAGACTGCGGATAGTTAGTCGATTGGCTTGAAGTTCGGTTCCATTCAAAGGGAATCCAGAAACCGCAAGCCTCTAATAGTACCTCAAAATCGCTAAGGTGGTGCCAGGCAATTATGTAGTTTGAATGTAACGTAGTACTGAAATGCATTATAGAATGAAAATTATAGTTTTAAGTCTGGATTTAGCTTAGGTTATTAATCAAACTCTATGCAAGCTTAAAGTTAACATTTAACGATAAACTTAAAACTATACTATTTTCGACACACACAGTAATACGTGCAAGAATTTTCTGTGGCCAACAAATTCTTCCAAATTACTTAACAAATCTCAATAAACTCAAGAACATGGACTGCTAAAGCTTTTTTGCATGTGTTAAGATTGCAATATTTTTCCAATTACCGCTGCATTCTCAAGTTATATGGCTGATCTTTAGACATTCATACGAGAAGAGCTATAAACTATAGGAAAGGAATAAATTTTGAATAGAACATAGACTTAAAGCCTTCAAGTTTGAGGTCTAGAAATTTATTACTTGCTGCATACAGTCAGCATGTTAAGAATGTAATAGTTTAAATTTTTCTCTGAATATCGTTGTGATCGGTTGATATTGATTATAATTGTGCGATTAATTTTGCCCTTTGTGCAAAAACTATCTCCATTTGTACGAATGGTATGGAGGTTACAGAAGAGGCACACAGAAAATTTTATTGTAGTCAAGTTTCAACTTGAAAAGAAGTCAACAACCAGTGCCATCTGTCGAATTTTTCTTCCAAGCTTGAACACATATGACAGGCAGAACCAGAATTTTGTAAACTTGTGACTGATAATCCGCGGATGCTGCCTTGTACATTTCTGTTTCCAGCGGTGGCATGACTGGCATCTGAAACCAAAAAAATGCAGAGTGAAAGCAGTCAGTGTATTATTTTTAAAAAATATAGTGTACCTATTAGGTAAATTATTCATAGTTGTTGAAATATATAAATTAACTATTAATCCAGGTTTGGAGTCGATGTAATGACCAAAAAAATGGTCGTTAACTTTACAAAAAGTCATTGAAATTCTGACGACTCTTGCCACTTTATGAAACCTGGTGTGTGACTAAATTTGGCATTTTGTGAGACTAATTCCAGCCGCGCTTCAAACTCTACTAATTTGTAATTCTGACTCTCTTGTGTTCGAATTCCAATCACTGTGTGAGCTGTATTGGAATATGACACAGCTGGGAATTAGAACACTATCGAATATTGAACACTACTTAATTAGGCTTTTAATTAAGAGCTATTAAGCTTTTAATTAAGAAAATTTTAATTTTTGCACACAGCTTGGAACGAGCTGTGTGTGTTTAATTCCAAGTTATCTGAATTAGTTTTTATGTGTCTAAAACGGTCTCTTAACTTAATCATCTTTTAATTTATTTACCACTTGAAATCAGCAAATACAAGCATACTTAATTAAAGAATTCCTAAAATATTCACAGACATTTTTAAAAGTCTCAAACCATAATATTCTTTCTACACAAACAGTTTATCACAATTTGGTAGAGCAAGGTCAACTTTCAACCTTGACACGTTTTTTGATGTTCTCACTGGGTGACTTGCACTGTCTCTCTTTGGATCTCAACATTTTCCCGCCAGATGGCCCACACCTAGTGTTTTGGCAATAGTATGGCACGCAATAGTATGAGGTCACTATTTCAACCATCAATGAATGCGTGGAACTAAGACAAAGCTTAATATAAATGAAAAAGTTGAGAAGTGTCAGAATTACCCACGATGTCGGAATATACCGCGTTTACCCTATCTAATGGCTTGTGTGTACAGGCTGAGCACTGTACACTTCTATTTATATTAAGATAGGATATTAATCATATTGTATATATATATATATATATATATATTCAAGTAATATATTTTGTCATTATCTCTAGAAGTATATATAGCCAAATGGGGTAAGACAGGATCGCAGCCTTCATGGGGTAAGAGAGGACCAGCCCATGGCATGCATTCTAATTGCACTGAATTTAATTTGACAAAAGAATATGTTAGAGCAATCATTGCCTGTCATTTCTGTGTTTGTTTCAACCTTCTTCTGCAAATAATGAATTTCTGGCTAATTTTTAAAGAAAACATATATAAAGAAGGGTCACAAAATAGTTAACCCTGCTTGGGAAATAAGCTCTGTCTGATTACAAAAAATTTTTTGGCCAGGTTTGTGGATGTAGGCAGGTAGCCTCAAGTAATAAGTAACTTTTGAGACATACTAGGCATTCCTACCTGCTACCATCACTGCCTGACATGTATTCTAAAATGGGGTAAAAAAGGACCGGACATGGGGTAAGACAGGACCACTAAATGATCCTGTTTTACTCCACAAGTGGTCCTATCTTACCAAACAAATGGTCCTGTCTTACCCCACAAATGGTCCTCTATTTCCCTACAATTTATCAAAAATAGTTTTTAAATGAATATATTATTGTGCAGTCAGTACATGGAGTATTTTGGTCAAAATTTTTATCTTTGGCTCAAACTTCAACTTGTTAGCTCTTTTAATTAGAGAAATTTAGTGCACTATTTTAAATTGCATCAAAGGGATGGAGAAAATAGGGATGTCACTTCCCATTATTGACCTGCAGAACTATGTGCAAGATTGGCTGGGGGGAAAAATCATTGTGTGAAACATGAAAAATAATTATGATCACAACTCTGTGAGAGGACATGAGCTATGTTTGAAGAAGTGCACCACAAATGCAGTTAGCAAGAAAACTCATGATGTCTGATACTTAAGTTATTATCCATTGGTTTTACTACCAATGTGAAAATTTTTCAGACAATGACACTAGGTAATGGAATATACAGGATGCATTTAGCAGTGCTCTACAATGAACCAAAGCCAAGTTAGCCAACCCACCTTTATTATGCTTAACAAAGTTTTCTCGTGACAAAAACTCCAATGTGACTGATATTATAGTTGACTTCCTGCAACACAAAACAGTAACAAGTGGTTGTTTAATCAAATAATGTGTTTCTAGATGGATAATATTGAATATCAGATTTGTACTTTTATTAAAACCTTGTAACATAAGAATAACCAGTTGGTCCTGTCTTACCCCATGCCTGGTCCCATCTTACCCCAATGGGGTAAGATGGGACCAGCTCACTTTTTTTAATCTGTACAGAAAACTATGTTAGATGCAAAATGTCAGAGTTGTAGCTTAGAAGCCCATTGCATAGATACACCTTGTGATAGGTTTAGGATTTTTTAATTATTCATGGCATAGATGCTACAGGCTTGTTAGTGATTTCGGTCCTGTCTTACCCCATCTGACTATATATATGTAGAGAAGTTGTGTCAATTCAGCAAGGCTCAGAACAAAATCAAACTTAAGAATTTCGCACAATTACCGGACAAAATTGGTAACATTACCGGACATGGGTTAGAAAACCGGACAAAATCGAGTCCAGTTATGTACCTTACAATTAGTTTGTACTTAAAAATCAAACACGAAAATAAATGAACTACACTACCGGACATTCTAAAAAATGCCAACCTTGATTTTCAACCCATGTCTGGTAATTTTACCAATCCCTTCCAGCTATTGTTCAAAACTTGTTTATATATATATATTCTTTCATACAGTCTCCCATATTTTAAATTCCATTATCACAAAACAATTGTGACACATTCTGGGAGTGTTTACTATTTTTAATTCTCACTAAAAAAATAGACCTGCAACCATAAAATGACAGTGATTACCTTCATTAAGGTACTGATATTGTTGACCTTGGAAATATTTATACTTGAATTATGTGGTTTGTTAGCTGGCACATTTTTTCTATAAATTTTGCTCCTTAGATCTAGCAATTCATATTAGTAACTGTGGTTTTTGGCTATGAGAACATTCATTGGATAATAACCTTTCAAATTTGATTTTTCTGGTCTAGCTTGACAATTTACTGTTTGGTCTAGCCATTTTATTCATTTGAAACATTGATAAATTGGTTAACAAAAAGTTTGGAGTATGGTAATTTGGTAAAAAGATTAAATCCAGTCCACCCAGTTAGGGCTATTTCCTACTGGAGAAATAAATGAAATGATTACAGTAGAATGTAATAAATTTGTCATTTCTAGGTTTATATAGATGTTTGTAGAAAATGGGCTGATGGCATTGTTTCATGATCAATAACAGATGTTTAATATAAAATTTATGAAATAGCAACTTTGCTGTCTGACAATGACGATTGGTGTTTCTGTATTTATATATTTACTATCATCATCAAGTAATTCTACTTTTTCAGGTGGTTCTCCATGCCAAGGAGGACAAGGAACCTCCACAGGGAGGTGGAGAACAGAACAGTGATGAAGAGAATCCTGCAGAGGAAGAAGTTGACTTCATCCCATGGGTTCCTCCAGACTCTTACATGGATGATTCTCCAGGACTGCAGCAGGTGGAAGAAATAAATGACAATGCATCTGATGCTGATGAACAAGAAGGCTCCTCAGACGAAGGGGTTGAAATTGTTGAAAGCAAAATATCCAAAAAGGATAAGACAAAGAGAAAAAAGAAAAAGAAGAAGAAGAAGAGGAAGCAGTCAGATGTTGATCCTAAAGAAGCATGGATTCAGAAGCAGCTAGAGGAAGAGCGACGGCGTAAATCAGAGCGTGCGAGCAGAAAGAAGAAATCATCTACTGCAGCAACATCAGTATCTTCTGAACCCAGTGTTGAAGTGACCTATGTCCAGGAGCAAATTGAACTTGATTACTCAGACCCATTGCATAGACATTTTGCCAAGGTCTTTGAAAATTTTAAAATTGCTGAACCTTTGCCGCAAGTTGAAGAAATTAAGGATGAAAAGGAAGTCATCCCCCAAGTACCTGTGAACCTTGGGGATCTGAAAAAAGTTCCTAAATTGGCTGAAGATGATGACTCAGATGAAGAAATAACAGATAAACAGAAAATATCAAAGCGCAAGCTTAAACTCCTGAAGAGGATGAGCATTGCAGAGCTGAAGCAGACTGTAAACCGACCCGATGTTGTGGAGATGCATGACGTCACAGCGCGCGATCCCAAGCTCTTAGTGCACCTAAAGGCCACGCGCAATGCAGTACCTGTTCCTCGACACTGGTGCTTCAAGCGAAAGTATCTTCAAGGGAAGCGTGGTATTGAGAAGCCTCCATTTGAGTTACCAGATTTCATCAAGAAAACTGGAATAATGGAGATGCGAGCAGCCTTGCAAGAAAAAGAAGACCAGAAAACCCTCAAGGCTAAAATGAGAGAAAAGGTTAGACCAAAAATGGGTAAAATTGACATTGATTACCAAAAACTTCATGATGCTTTTTTCAAATGGCAGTCAAAGCCAGAAATGACGATCCACGGAGATCTTTACTATGAGGGTAAAGAATTCGAGACCAAAATGAAAGATAAGAAACCTGGAGAAATGAGTGATGACCTTCGAATTGCTCTGGGCATGCCTGTTGGCGTCAACGCCAATAAAGTCCCTCCTCCCTGGCTAATTGCCATGCAGCGGTATGGCCCACCACCGTCGTATCCAAATTTGAAAATCCCTGGTCTGAATGCTCCCATTCCGGAAGGTTGTAGCTTTGGATACCATGCAGGTGGATGGGGTAAACCACCTGTTGATAATATGGGCAAACCGATTTATGGTGACGTTTTCGCTACACAAGAGAAAGAATATGATGTCCCTATGCTTGAGGAGGTGGAGAAGAGCTATTGGGGCGAACTTGAGAGCGAGAGTGAAGAAGAGTCTGAGGAGGAAGAGAGCGAGGAAGAGGAGGAAGATAACAGCGGGCTAGTGACTCCAGGAGACACTGGCCTAGTTACTCCTTCTGGTATTAGCTCGATGCCAGCAGGACTGGAGACTCCCGATATGATTGAACTACGCAAGAAACAAGTGGAAACTGAGGCAGAGGGAGGTGAAACTCCAGCCCTGTATACTATTCTGCCCGAAAGGCGTGTCGAAAGTGGCGGAAGAAATTTGATGGCGTCTACTCACACTTACGACATTGGAGGTGGACGTGGTGGGGGTGATCACGGTGTTGACGTGGCATTGGATCCGTCTGAACTTGACCTAGTAGACACAGAAGCCATGGCAGCGCGTTATGAAGCCACCCTTAGGGAGCAGCTGGCGGGTGAAGAAGAGGAAGACTTTTCTGACATGGTGGCTGAGCACGCCGCTAAACAGAAGAATAAGAGGCGACGTCTGCAACAACAACAAGATCAAAATAAACCGGCTAAGAAGTATAAGGATTTCAAATTTTGATTTTCTGCTCCTAAAAATTTCTATGCTTTCAAAATTTTCTTTGATTTGTCAACCTTTCAATGGCCTCGCATTTTTTCCAAAGACACTTTCAGTGTGGTTGGTTTCAACCCTGGCATTAAAATTGTATCGATTCTCGAAAAATAAATTTTAACATTTCAATTATATTGGATTTTTCATACCTATAATTAAAATTTGCTGGAACTTCATTACCTTATATAATCCTTGTTTTTCTTTGAGCTGATCAAGCAACTTGCAGTTGCACTACATTTAGCTTGATGGAGCGTTTGGATTTGGGGCGTGGTGACTCTTTACAGGCCTTTACAACGGCATTCAGCCACGCATCACATATTCATTTTGTTAGTAGGAAGGAAGAAAAGATTGAGGGTTAGACAAGAACAAGGGAAGACAGATTCGCGAGGATATTCATTTGGTTTTTTATTACTAAATCATGTTTATTGCACTGTAGGTAGTTTACATCTATATTAGATATGGAACCTCTTAGGAAGTTTGGCCCTGAATGACTATTTGTGTTTTATTAAATTATTATTGATGGTTATCTTATTTCATAGCTGCTTTTTTCCTCACACCTTCCCGGCCTCCATTCCCTCTAACCAACTCTCCCTCTTTCTCCAAAAATCGCTCTTCACTCTCAGTCAAAGCAACAGTCACCTCTGTTGACAGACGTCTCGGACAAAAACGCGGCCTCTCTCACGGCCGGTCTCGCGGCCGTGATTCCAAATTCAGTGAGCGTAGAATATCTCGCAAAATACTGAACGTAGCTTGATGAAACTTGGTACACATAATCATTAGAGCCTAACGGTGATGTTTAGCTCGTCCCACTATCAATCTAGCATTGCAATCCGCATTTGTATGACGCATTCGCATCTCATAGAATTCGCTTATTTATTTTCATTGCGTTTGAATACAAAACTGTATCCGGTGATAATACGTTACTGTTATTCATTGAAAATGCATAAATCATTTGGAAATGAGTTTAAATAATAATGCAATAAAACATAGACCATACTTTAATCAGGAATGATACAAAACTTACACACAAAGTTTAATGCCCAAATTCAATTAAATATTTGTAAAAAAAACAGAAGCAGAGCCCATTCCGAGAAAACTCGTTTGTAACTCCCTCTGCGGACTGTCCTTACTCCGTGCCCAGTGGTGCCAGTGACTGCTGACTGGCAGTCACTGTCTCTAGAAATTAGAACTAGGCTCTAGGTAGAAGTCTAGAATATTATGCACTAGTAGTAGCACTGCCACTACGTAGTGGTAGTGAAGCTGCAGCGCTTGTGTTTGTGTATTACTTTTAAGTTGTGACTGTTGTGTAACGTCAATCGTCAAGTATCAACCGACATCTTTTGAACTTTTCCATCAAGCCATAATNGAGACAGTCCACAAACTGCTCGTACGCGGCAGCGCGTCTTCCGCGTTCCGCTTGGCGGATACGGAACGTACGGTAATCGTAAACTGCGGCTTACGTCTGTTCCTCCACAAACTGCTCGTACTCGGCAGCGCGACGTAGAATTGATGGCCGGGATTGCGCGAACACGTGCGCCAAGTGAATCAATTTTCATTACATTGCGCGAACTGTGCACAGCAATAGATTAAAAAAAGTGAAAATACGCGGGAAAATTCACCGAAAACATACATCATCCTGAGTGTGGGCAAAAACCACCCGTGGCCGAGCAAAAATCACCCGTGCACGTGGTAAACTTTTACCCGTGCACGTGAGATGGTGAGACAATCTCACCCGTATTTTTAGCCTTTCCACCCGCACCCGTAGGCATAGTGGCAAAGCAGAGTGTTTTTTAGACTCTCCCTCAAGTTCATTTGTGAGTCCTATAAGTAGACCAGTAAAGTATCCTGGATACCAGCTTCATCATACATAAGAAATTGGTTTAAATCTTGGGTAAATGAGGAAATTAAAA